TTCCCCACCCTTGCTCTCATATGAACAGGGTGAGTTTCTGACCTAGCTAGGCTACTTTTTCCTTACCCTTGCTCTCATATCAAAAGGGGGAGTTTCTGACCCAGCTAGGATACTTTTTCTCGACCCTATCTCTTATATCAAAGGGGGTTCTCTGACCTAGCTAGACTACTTCTTCCCCACCCTTGCTTTTATATCAAAAGGGGAAGTTTCTGGCCTAGCTAGGCTACTTCTTCCCCCACCCTTGCTCTTATATCAAAAGGGGGAGTTTCTGACCTAGCTAGGCTACTTCTTCCCCGACCCTTGCTCTTATATCAAAAGGGGAAGTTTCTGGCCTAGCTAGGCTACTTCTTCCCCCATCCTTGCTCTTATATCAAAAGGGGGAGTTTCTGACCTAGCTAGGCTCCTTCTTCCCCATCCTTGCTATTATATCAAAAGGGGGAGTTTCTGACCCAACTAGGCTACTTTTTCCCCACCCTTGCTCTTATATCAAAAGGGAGAGTTTCTGCCTAGCTAGGCTACTTCTTCTCCCACCCTTGCTCTTATATCAAAAGGGGGAGTTTCTCTCCTAGCTAAGGTACTTCTACCCCCACCCTTGCTCTTATATCAAAGGGGATGATTCTGGCTAAGCTAGGCTACTTCTTCCCCCCACCCTTGCTCTCATATCAAAGGGGAGTTTCTGACCCAGCTAGGCTACTTCTTCCCCACCCTTGCTCTTATATCAAAAGGGGAAGTTTCTGACCTAGCTAGGCTACTTCTTCCCCACCCTTGCTCTTATATCAAAAGGGGGAGTTTCTGTCCTAGGTAGGCTACTTCTTCCCCACCCTTGCTCTTATATCAACAGGGGGAGTTTCTGACCTAGCTAGGCTACTTCTTCCCTACCCTTGCTCTCATATCAACAGGGGGAGTTTCTGACCTACCTAGGCTACTTCTTCCCTACCCTTGCTCTCATATCAAAAGGGGGAGTTTCTGACCTAGCTAGGCTACTTCTTCCCCACCCTTGCTCTCATATGAACAGGGTGAGTTTCTGACCTAGCTAGGCTACTTTTTCCTTACCCTTGCTCTCATATCAAAAGGGGGAGTTTCTGACCCAGCTAGGATACTTTTTCTCGACCCTATCTCTTATATCAAAAGGGGGAGTTTCTGACCTAGCTAGACTACTTCTTCCCCCACCCTTGCTTTTATATCAAAAGGGGAAGTTTCTGGCCTAGCTAGGCTACTTCTTCCCCCACCCTTGCTCTTATATCAAAAGGGGGAGTTTCTGACCTAGCTAGGCTACTTCTTCCCCGACCCTTGCTCTTATATCAAAAGGGGAAGTTTCTGGCCTAGCTAGGCTACTTCTTCCCCCATCCTTGCTCTTATATCAAAAGGGGGAGTTTCTGACCTAGCTAGGCTCCTTCTTCCCCATCCTTGCTATTATATCAAAAGGGGGAGTTTCTGACCCAACTAGGCTACTTTTTCCCCACCCTTGCTCTTATATCAAAAGGGAGAGTTTCTGCCTAGCTAGGCTACTTCTTCTCCCACCCTTGCTCTTATATCAAAAGGGGGAGTTTCTCTCCTAGCTAAGGTACTTCTACCCCCACCCTTGCTCTTATATCAAAAGGGGATGATTCTGGCCTAGCTAGGCTACTTCTTCCCCACCCTTGCTCTCATATCAAAAGGGGGAGTTTCTGACCCAGCTAGGCTACTTCTTCCCCACCCTTGCTCTTATATCAAAAGGGGAAGTTTCTGACCTAGCTAGGCTACTTCTTCCCCACCCTTGCTCTTATATCAAAAGGGGGAGTTTCTGTCCTAGGTAGGCTACTTCTTCCCCACCCTTGCTCTTATATCAACAGGGGGAGTTTCTGACCTAGCTAGGCTACTTCTTCCCTACCCTTGCTCTCATATCAACAGGGGGAGTTTCTGACCTACCTAGGCTACTTCTTCCCTACCCTTGCTCTCATATCAAAAGGGGGAGTTTCTGACCTAGCTAGGCTACTTCTTCCCCACCCTTGCTCTCATATGAACAGGGTGAGTTTCTGACCTAGCTAGGCTACTTTTTCCTTACCCTTGCTCTCATATCAAAAGGGGGAGTTTCTGACCCAGCTAGGATACTTTTTCCCGACCCTATCTCTTATATCAAAAGGGGGAGTTTCTGACCTAGCTAGACTACTTCTTCCCCCACCCTTGCTTTTATATCAAAAGGGGAAGTTTCTGGCCTAGCTAGGCTACTTCTTCCCCCACCCTTGCTCTTATATCAAAAGGGGGAGTTTCTGACATAGCTAGGCTACTTCTTCCCCGACCCTTGCTCTTATATCAAAAGGGGAAGTTTCTGGCCTAGCTAGGCTACTTCTTCCCCCATCCTTGCTCTTATATCAAAAGGGGGAGTTTCTGACCTAGCTAGGCTCCTTCTTCCCCATCCTTGCTATTATATCAAAAGGGGGAGTTTCTGACCTAGCTAGGCTACTTTTTCCCCACCCTTGCTCTTATATCAAAAGGGGGAGTTTCTGGCCTAGCTAGGTTACTTCTTCCCCACCCTTGCTCTTATATCAAAAGGGGGAGTTTCTGGCTTAGCTAGGCTACTTCTTCCCCACCCTTGCTCTTATATCAAAAGGGGGAGTTTCTGACCTAGCTAGGCTACTTCTTCCCCCACCCTTGCTCTTATATCAAAAGGGGGAGTTTCTGACCTAGCTAGGCTACTTCATTCCTACCCTTGCTCTTATATTAAAAGGGGGAGTTTCTGACCTAGCTAGGCTACTTCATCCCCACCCTTGCTCTTATATCAAAAGGGGGAGTTTCTGACCTAGCTAGGCTACTTCTTCCCTACTCTTGCTCTCATATCAAAAGGGGGAGTTTCTGACCCAGCTAGGATACTTTTTCCCGACCCTACCTCTTATATCAAAAGGGGGAGTTTCTGACCTAGCTAGGCTACTTCTTCCCCACCCTTGCTCTTATATCAAAAGGGGGAGTTTCTGGCCCAGCTAGGCTACTTCTTCCCCACCCTTGCTCTTATATCAACAGGGGGAGTTTCTGACCTAGCTAGGCTACTTCTTCCCTACCCTTGCTCTCATATCAACAGGGGGAGTTTCTGACCTACCTAGGCTACTTCTTCCCTACCCTTGCTCTCATATCAAAAGGGGGAGTTTCTGACCTAGCTAGGCTACTTCTTCCCCACCCTTGCTCTCATATGAACAGGGTGAGTTTCTGACCTAGCTAGGCTACTTTTTCCTCACCCTTGCTCTCATATCAAAAGGGGGAGTTTCTGACCCAGCTAGGATACTTTTTCCCGACCCTATCTCTTATATCAAAAGGGGGAGTTTCTGACCTAGCTAGACTACTTCTTCCCCCACCCTTGCTTTTATATCAAAAGGGGAAGTTTCTGGCCTAGCTAGGCTACTTCTTCCCCCACCCTTGCTCTTATATCAAAAGGGGGAGTTTCTGACCTAGCTAGGCTACTTCTTCCCCGACCCTTGCTCTTATATCAAAAGGGGAAGTTTCTGGCCTAGCTAGGCTACTTCTTCCCCCATCCTTGCTCTTATATCAAAAGGGGGAGTTTCTGACCTAGCTAGGCTCCTTCTTCCCCCATCCTTGCTATTATATCAAAGGGGAGTTTCTGACCCAACTAGGCTACTTTTCCCCACCCTTGCTCTTATATCAAAGGGGAGTTTCTGCCTAGCTAGGCTACTTCTTCTCCCACCCTTGCTCTTATATCAAAAGGGAGTTTCTCTCCTAGCTAAGGTACTTCTACCCCCCACCCTTGCTCTTATATCAAAGGGGATGATTCTGGCCTAGCTAGGCTACTTCTTCCCCACCCTTGCTCTCATATCAAAGGGAGTTTCTGACCCAGCTAGGCTACTTCTTCCCCACCCTTGCTCTTATATCAAAGGGGAAGTTTCTGACCCTAGCTAGGCTACTTCTTCCCCACCCTTGCTCTTATATCAAAAGGGGAGTTTCTGTCCCAGGTAGGCTACTTCTTCCCCACCCTTGCTCTTATATCAACAGGGGAGTTTCTGACCTAGCTAGGCTACTTCTTCCCTACCCTTGCTCTCATATCAACAGGGGAGTTTCTGACCTACCTAGGCTACTTCTTCCCTACCCTTGCTCTCATCAAAAGGGGAGTTTCTGACCTAGCTAGGCTACTTCTTCCCCCACCCTTGCTCTCATATGAACAGGGTGAGTTTCTGACCTAGCTAGGCTACTTTTTCCTTACCCTTGCTCTCATATCAAAAGGGGGAGTTTCTGACCCAGCTAGGATACTTTTTCCCGACCCTATCTCTTATATCAAAAGGGGGAGTTTCTGACCTAGCTAGACTACTTCTTCCCCCACCCTTGCTTTTATATCAAAAGGGGAAGTTTCTTGCCTAGCTAGGCTACTTCTTCCCCCACCCTTGCTCTTATATCAAAAGGGGGAGTTTCTGACCTAGCTAGGCTACTTCTTCCCCGACCCTTGCTCTTATATCAAAGGGGGAGTTTCTGGCCTAGCTAGGCTACTTCTTCCCCCATCCTTGCTCTTATATCAAAAGGGGGAGTTTCTGACCTAGCTAGGCTCCTTCTTCCCCATCCTTGCTATTATATCAAAAGGGGGAGTTTCTGACCTAGCTAGGCTACTTTTTCCCCACCCTTGCTCTTATATCAAAAGGGGGAGTTTCTGGCCTAGCTAGGTTACTTCTTCCCCACCCTTGCTCTTATATCAAAAGGGGGAGTTTCTGGCTTAGCTAGGCTACTTCTTCCCCACCCTTGCTCTTATATCAAAAGGGGGAGTTTCTGGCCTAGCTAGGCTACTTTTTCCCCACCCTTGCTCTTATATCGAAAGGGGGAGCTTCTGGCCTAGCTAGGCTACTTCTTCCCCACCCTTGCTCTTATATCAAAAGGGGGAGACATGTTATTTCTCTAACTGATTAACGGCTACCCCACCGCCCCGAAACTAACTAAGTTCATAAGGTAAGAGCCTCGGCTGATTCTGAGCTATTGTTCTGAGTGACGGGATGTGAGACTCTAAGCACCCTGTATCTTGTACATTTCAGTCTATGTGCAGCAAGTGCATCGTCCCGGCGACAACATCACACTAGTCCACTGCTCGGAGTACGCATCTCTCATCCATGCACGTAAGTAGCTGTCACTGGGCAGTGTCTAATGATGTCCACTCTTTTGCAGTCTATATGGACCACGCCCACCGAGGCTCGGACCACATCATACTGGTGCATGTACCAGAGTACACTCACCTGTCTCAGGCCCGTGAGTACCACTGGGGTGTAGCTGCGGCTGTAACATTGTTGTAATGTTGCTGTAACTGCTGCTGTAACATTGTTGTAATGTTGCTGTGACTGCTGTTGTAACATTGTTGTAATGTTGCTGTAACTGCTGCTGTAACACTGTTGTAATGTTGCTGTAACTGCTGCTGTAACAGTGTTGTAATGTTGCTGTAACTGCTGTTGTAACATTGTTGTAATGTTGCTGTAACTGCTGATATATCATTGTTGTAATGTTGCTGTAACTGCTGATATAACATTGTTGTAATGTTGCTGTAACTGCTACTGTAACATTGTTGTAATGTTGCTGTAACTGCTGATATAACATTGTTGTAATGTTGCTGTAACTGCTGCTGTAACATTGTTGTAATGTTGCTGTAACTGCTGCTGTAACGTTGTAATGTTGCTATAACTGTTGCTGTAACATTGTTCTAATGTTGCTGTAACTGCTGCTGTAACATTGTTGTAAATGTTGCTGTTGCTGTACTGCTGCTGTAACATTGTTGTAATGTTGCTGTAACTGCTGATATATCATTGTTGTAATGTTGCTGTAACTGCTGCTGTAACATTGTTGTAATGTTGCTGTAACTGCTGATATATCATTGTTGTAATGTTGCTGTAACTGCTGCTGTAACATTGTTGTAATGTTGCTGTAACTGCTGATATATCATTGTTGTAATGTTGCTGTAACTGCTGCTGTAACATTGTTGTAATGTTGCTGTAACTGCTGATATATCATTGTTGTAATGTTGCTGTAACTGCTGCTGTAACATTGTTGTAATGTTGCTGTAACTGCTGATATATCATTGTTGTAATGTTGCTGTAACTGCTGCTGTAACATTGTTGTAATGTTGCTGTAACTGCTGATATATCATTGTTGTAATGTTGCTGTAACTGCTGTTGTAACATTGTTGTAATGTTGCTGTAACTGCTGATATATCATTGTTGTAATGTTGCTGTAACTGCTGATATAACATTGTTGTAATGTTGCTGTAACTGCTACTGTAACATTGTTGTAATGTTGCTGTAACTGCTGATATAACATTGTTGTAATGTTGCTGTAACTGCTGCTGTAACATTGTTGTAATGTTGCTGTAACTGCTGCTGTAACGTTGTAATGTTGCTATAACTGTTGCTGTAACATTGTTCTAATGTTGCTGTAACTGCTGCTGTAACATTGTTGTAAATACTGCTGCTGTAACATTGTTGTAATGTTGCTGTAACTGCTGATATATCATTGTTGTAATGTTGCTGTAACTGCTGATATAACATTGTTGTAATGTTGCTGTAACTGCTACTGTAACATTGTTGTAATGTTGCTGTAACTGCTGATATAACATTGTTGTAATGTTGCTGTAACTGCTGCTGTAACATTGTTGTAATGTTGCTATAACTGCTACTGTAACATTGTTGTAATGTTGCTGTAACTGCTGATATAACATTGTTGTAATGTTGCTGTAACTGCTGCTGTAACATTGTTGTAATGTTGCTATAACTGCTGCTGTAACATTGTTGTAATGTTGCTGTAACTGCTGCTATAACATTGTTGTAATGTTGCTGTAACTGCTGCTGTAACATTGTTGTAATGTTGCTGTAACTGCTGCTGTAACATTGTTGTAATGTTGCTATAACTGCTACTGTAACATTGTTGTAATGTTGCTGTAACTGCTGCTGTAACATTGTTGTAATGTTGCTGTAACTGCTGCTGTAACGTTGTAATGTTGCTATAACTGTTGCTGTAACATTGTTTTAATGTTGCTGTAACTGCTGCTGTAACATTGTTGTAAATACTGCTGCTGTAACATTGTTGTAATGTTGCTGTAATGCTCTGATAAAGCTGGTGTAACTGCAGATGTAACTGCCTCTCTGCCTGCTTCACTAGTCTGAGTTCTGTGAACCTTTCTCTCTGTGTGTGTTTTCTGTGAAACTTGATTATATTTGTGTATATTGCATCTATATGCATCTGTGTGTACCGCACCTTTTGTATTTGTATATTGAATCTGTGTATGTGTATATATTCCATCTATCCACCTCGGTACGTGTGTATTGCATCTCTGTATGTGTGTATATCTGTCTATCCTGTATCTCTGTATGTGTGTATATCTGTCTATATTGCATCTGTGTATGTGTGTATATCTGTCTATATTGCATCTCTGTATGTGTGTATATCTGTCTATATTGCATGTCTGTATGTGTGTATATCCGTCTATATTGCATCTCTGTATCTGTGTATATCTGTCTATATTGCGTCTCTCTGTGTGTATGTGTCTATCCTGAATCTCTGTATGTGTGTATGTCTGTCTATATTGCATCTCTGTATGTGTGTATATCTGTCTATATTGCATCTGTGTGTGTCTATCCTGCATCTCTGTCTGTGTGTATATCTGTCTATATTGCATCTCTGTATGTGTGTATGTGTCTATCCTGAATCTGTGTATGTGTGTATGTCTGTCTATATTGCATCTGTGTATGTGTATATATCTGTCTATATTGCATCTGTGTGTGTCTATCCTGCATCTGTGTCTGTGTGTATATCTGTCTATATTGCATCTCTGTATGTGTGTGTGTGTCTATCCTGCATCTGTGTATGTGTGTATATCTGTCTATATTGCATCTCTGTATGTGTGTGTGTGTCTGTCTTGCATCTATGTATGTGTGTATATCTGTCTATATTGCATCTGTGTATGTGTGTATATCTGTCTATATGGCATCTCTCTGTGTGTATGTGTCTATCCTGCATCTCTGTGTGTATATCCGTCTATATTGCATCTCTGTATGTGTGTATATCTGTCAGTGATTGTCAAAACAATGAAAACAAGAAGACAATCACTGTGCACTTAAAAAATATATTTTTTGTAAAATATGTATACAATCTTGGATTATCTTCTGACCATGTGTGTAAAACATTGGTCCTACTTATATACTTTTATTGTGTTTCCATACCATGGGACAGGTTATCATTATACTTTTGTGTTATACCATGGGACAAGTTATTATTGTGAGTACTTCCAAACATTGGTCCTACTTATACTTTTTATACTTTTGTGTTATAAAATAGGACACGTTATTATACTTTTGTGAGGACAAGTTAATATTGTGACAAACATTGGTCCTACTTATACTTTTGTGTTATACCATGGGACAAGTTATTATTGCGTGTACTTCCAACTATGACTAAAACCTGTTGACAACATATTTTACACCATGGATTACGATGTTTGTGTGTGTGAGACCTTGGCCAACATATCTTTTTGTTGAAATTGTGGACAATTAATTTTCTCCATGTGCTTCTGTTTCAATAGCAGCCTTGCTGACAGACCCGGTAGTCGTGGCAGAACTCATCAAAGAGGAAGAGGTCAAGGTCAAACACCTGGTTGACAAATACAGTGAAAAGATGAAGAAAATCCATGTATGTCCTGCAATGTAGTCTTTCTGTTCTGGTCACTGGCATCAATACTTGTATGTCCTGCAATGTAGTCTTTCTGTTCTGGTCACTGGTACCAATACATGTATGTTCTGCAATGTAGTCTTTCTGTTCTGGTCACTGGTATCAATATATGTATGTCCTGCAATGTAGTCTTTCTGTTCTGGTCACTGTATGTCCTGCAATGTAGTCTTTCTGTTCTGGTCACTGGTACCAATACGTGTATGTCCTGCAATGTAGTCTTTCTGTTCTGGTCACTGTATGTCCTGCAATGTAGTCTTTCTGTTCTGGTCACTGGTACCAATACATGTATGTCCTGCAATGTAGTCTTTCTGTTCTGGTCACTGGTACCAATACATGTATGTCCTGCAATGTTGTCTTTCTGTTCTGGTCACTGGTACCAATACATGTATGTCCTGCAATGTAGTCTTTCTGTTCTGGTCACTGGTATCAATACATGTATGTCCTGCAGTGTAGTCTTTCTGTTCTGGTCGCTGTATGTCCTGCAATGTAGTCTTTCTGTTCTGGTCACTGGTACAAATACATGTATGTCCTGCAATGTAGTCTGGTCACTGGTACCAATACATGTGTGTCCTGCAATGTAGTCTTTCTTTTCCTAAATCTATAAAATGTTGAACATAACCGGTGTTCATGTGGATGTCTCTGTCCTACCACAAAGTTGAACCAAGATGTTATCAATGAGCAATTAACGTTTAACATACTGTTTTCTCAGTACAATTCAGATTCCGTTTGCTTTCACACATGACATCAGGAGATCGGGATGTCATACCTGTCTCGGACAAGGTGTGATGTTTGGTGGATTGTGATATGGTTGTTTCTCCCTCACAGGTGCGCGGCAAGGTGAAGCAGATGACAGGCAAGGTTGGGGAGGCGATCATCGAGGCTGCCAAGGGAGAGAATGCTGCAATGATTGTTGTCGGAACTCGGGGCATGGGCAAGATGAGGAGGACATTTCTGGGCAGCGTCAGTGACTATTGTCTACATCACTCCCCAGTCCCGGTGCTTGTGTGCCGACATAAACCAGTGAATGAACACAAGAAATAGGTCAACAATACCTTACATGGACAAGTATACAAGTTCTTGTGTTTCCCAATTGAATGCGGAATAACTATATGAGGAGAGTCAATCCAAAAAATGGTCACAGACGCTACTTAGGACCAAGTGATATTTGCAGCAAGAAATAGGCACTTGACCATACCCATTAGTTGTGTGATATATATATGTGATGTATAAAATGAGTTCTATGTTGAATCAGCAATATTTCAGCCATATCTCGACAAGACAAAGTCTGCTTTCATCCACATTTTAAGTACAATTTTTAAATCATTCTTTTTCAAAACATATTTATTCATTACATTATTATCTACAAACAGAAAAAGTTGTAGCACCAAATTTAAAAGTAAGCAGTCTGTCCTCACATGACATCATTCATGATACAGACCAATCTCTTTATCCGTGAGACGGTGGGGTAGCCTAGTGGTTAATGTGTTTGCTCATCACACTTAAGACCTGGATTCAATTCGCCACATGTGAACAATGTGTGTGAAGCCCATTCCTGGTGTCCCTGGCCGTGATATTACTGGAATATTGCTAAAAGCAAAGTGAAACTAAACTTTATCACTCACTCACTCCTCCTTCCTGAAAAGACATTAACACCTACAGATGGTCTGTGATCTGTGTGATGTAGACATATGTTTGTCACACCTACAGATGTGATGTAGACACGTGTTTGTCACACCTACAGGTGGTCTGTGTGAGGTAGACACATGTTTGTTACACCTACATATGGTCTGTGATGTGTGTGCTGTAGACACATGTTTGTCACACCTACAAATGGTCTGTGATCTGTGTGATGTAGACACATGTTTGTCACACCTACAGAACAGAACAGAACAGAATTTTATTTCAGTAACAGGCCTCCGGCCCAAAATACATGTACATAAATTTGATGATAAGTAGAGCACATATATATATTTCATTTAGATTTGTGTTTCTTGTCAACAAAGTATAAAAATAGACATACATCCTTGATAATATTAACATTTTTACTCTGTAATATTGATATAAAATTAATAGTTGATGGACATTTACTAAAATATTTTGATATGTACTTATTTCTGATATGAGAATATGCATCACAGATATAAAACACATGCCATTCATCTTCAACAACGAAGATACCATTTAATTTACAAAACAGGCAATGCCTTTCATTATATGCAACATCAGTGTATCTGCCCGTTTCAACTGCTAGTTTAAAATTACAGCACCGAAATCGGGCATACATAGTTTTTAAATATTGAGGGATATCATTATTTATCAAGTAGCTCTCAACATTTAACAAAGATTTGAATTGCTTATAGTAAAGACATTTACAGTTACTGTCCAAAGATGAATGCCAAGATTGAAATAAATTATCATGTAGTCTCTGTTTAAATGATTCCATAAATATTTTGTGATCACCAATTTCCTGACTTATCCAAACAAATCCAAAACCATATTGAAAAAGAATATTTTTAATTCTAGTTGCCCATGAATTTCGTCCTACCCTGTCTAAAGATAATAGCATAAAATAACATTGTTTTGGTAATCTATAGTCGGGCATGTTTAGAAGTCTGCACCAGTATTTCACTGCATTGGTTGTATAAGTAAACTGTTAAGGCACTCTTCCACATTCACCCAAGACCATATTGTTACAGGTGGATTTTCCAAGTTTCAAGACATATTTACAGAATTTAATATGGACAGATTCAATAGTATTACAGTAGGATGTGCCCCAGATTTCAGACCCATAACAGAGTATGGGTGATATCATACAATCAAAGATTTTAAATAAATCTGTGCAATTAATGCTGCCAAGTTTCCTTTGGAAATTTTTAACAGAGAATATTGCCTTACTAGCTTGTGATGCAAGGCAAGATGTAGCTTTACTCCAGGATAATTTAGGAGTGAACATAATTCCAAGGTACTTGTAAAAGGATACAGTTTCAATAACATTGCCATTATAAAACCAATTTTCATATGAGCGCAGGGGACCACCATTTCTAAAAACAATAATCTTAGTTTTCTTTAGATTCACGCTCATACCAGTTTGCTCACAAAATTTACCAAGTACATTGATCTTTTTTAGCAGCTGTGCACAGGTGTCAGCTATTGCTGACACATCATCAGCAAACATGAGAGAGCAGAGATTGCTAATAGAAGAAGAAACTGTAATACCCTTACCTCCTTCCAACTCCATAAGACTGCATAGCTTATTTATGAAGATAATAAAAATCTGAGGGCTCAAAACACAGCCTTGGCGAGTACCGATTTTACAATAAAAACTATTTGATACACCCTTAGATGTCCTGACTGAAGCTGATAAAGAACTATACATAGAAGTTAACAGCATAAGAAATTTACCTCGTATACCAGTTTCATAAAGTGACTTTAGAAGAATATCATGCCTTAGAGTATCAAAAGCCTTGGCAAAATCTACAAAGAGACAATAAAATCTACCCCCTTTTTTTGCTAATATATTTTTGAATTAACGACTGCAATGAAAAAAATTGGTCAATTGTTGAATAATCAGCCCTGAAACCAGACTGTGATTCACTGATAATATCATGAACTTCACACCATCGCTGGAGGCGGCGATTAAGAATTGACATAAACACTTTACAAGTAGAATCAATGAGAGAAATTCCTCTGTAATTATTAGTATCATCTCTACAACCAGACTTATGAACAGGACAAATAATGCTTTTACCCCAACAAGATGGAAATTTACCACTATGAAGAATATGATTAAAAAGCTGAGTAAGATATGGTACAATGAGATGACTAGAAGCCTTTAAGAATTCAGCAGCAACACCATCTGGCCCTGGAGATTTATTATTAGCAGAATTAACTATCTGACGTGAAACCTCCTGTTGAGTAATAGGATCATCAAGCCCTTCTGATCTCTGAGTTGACAAATAAACATCACTATCCTCATCTGAAAGACAAGACCCATCTTGATCTGCACCAAGTAAAGACATAAAGTGCCTGACCCACTGCAGATTAGTTATAGACTGAGAAATACCACTGGAAGAATTACACTTTTTCAAAATCCTCCAAAATGACTTAGAATCTTTGCTAGCAGCTACCAACTTGTCCTTTTGTTTACAGAAATAGGCTTCCTTCTTCACTCTGAAAACATGTTTAAAACAATTTCTAAAACACCTGAAAATATCCAGACTTTGATTAAAATCTCTATGAGCTCTAAGAGCCTTGTACTTATCATGTTTTAGCTCCTCTAATTCTTGATCCCACCATGGAGGCTGCTCCCTGTCCCTATCAGCTTTACTACACACAGGAGGGTACACACTTTTAGTGTGGGCAGCAGCATGATGAAGTAGCTTTACAAACATAGATATAGAGTCGTCAACACATGTATTCAATAGGTATAACAAATCACCAAGAGAGTCTGCAAATACATGCTCAAAGTGTGTGATAAACTTATTTTCTGTGTCCTTAGACCATACATATTTGATCCATGTTTCATTTACCGGTACTTCATCAGACACAGTGTCATTAGCCCTGCTGTCAGTGTCAGCTGCAATGACAATAGAGCAATATAATGGGAAATGGCAAGATAGGTCTTGAGTACCTATGCCAAAGTTATTGATATGAGGAAACAGTGATGAGGATGCTATCATGTAATCAACAACACTGGCCCCATTGTGGGTGACACATGTAAACTCTCCAGACAGATCTTCACAGAGTCGACCGTTCAGAGTGTGTATCCCAAATGTACGACATAGTTCTGCAAGTTTCATACCATAATTATTATACTGTTTATCTTTAGAGTTCCTTGGGGTTTCAAACATATCACCTGGATAACCATCCGTATCATAAACATATTCAATAGTATCATCTGGAATATAATCAAGGAAGTCCTTCATTCTTGCATTAAGATCACCCCCTAGAAATATATGGTCAGTTGGATAATCTGATCTCACTCTATGGAAGTAATCTTCCAGTTGAGAAATACCATCACATACCATGACCTTTGTTAATTTTCTTATTTTATATTTTGTTTAGAACTAGATTACAACATATTTTGTCTGGCAGCATGAACTATGCTGCTCTGAATCTAAACCACAATTAGGACAATATTTTGTGTCTACTGGTTGTCAAATACCAAGATGTCTCTGGCCTGGCCAGTATATTCTGTTTACATGTACTTCATACAAACATCACTCTGCTCAGTAGAAGGCATTGCTGGTGTTGCCAAGGAATCCTTTTATGTGTGCAAACTATTGTTTCCACTGCGAGAATCTCATGTACTTAATTATACAACAAAATTGAAATATCAAAAATTAAATAGTTGTGTAAAGTTCTTTCTTGTTGACTGTTTTTGTTTTGTTTATTTACTTTGTTATTTAGCTCTTGCCTCACCCACCCGTTTGCATTAAGAATATTATATTTTTTGGCTAAAAAATGATGCATATCTCACTGATCCTTACGTCATAGATTGGTGGAGATCTAATCAACCGTTTACTTACAGGAAAATCTCGGTTAACTGATAAATTAAACATTGAATCAACATCTTACTTCTATACAAAGATACAATACACATCCATTTGTACATATTATACATTTATAACAGCTGTAAAGAACCATTCAAAACAGAATTATGAGAGACGCAAAAGAGTTAAAAACAACTTTAAACATATCACAATTCTTGTCAACGTTGTAGAATTAAAAGGCAGATTTTGGCTGTATTAAAACACATAATAGGATCACTGAAAATATAACACATTTTATCGACATGAGATTTATCTACAAACTCTGGACAAAAAGTTGTGCAATGGTTAAAAGAGCGCCTTACTGAGATCATCGTATAGCACACAGTGAAACATAACATGTAATTCATCTTCTACATCATTAATACATTAAAACATTTTCTGTTTTCTAACACATTATTTTCATAGCGGCCAGTTTTCACTCTAATGGGAGTAACACCATATCGACACTTCTACGAAGCCGATCTATACTGTCTAGGCATATGATGGACAATTTAATTTTCTGTATTAAAATTTCATTTCAACTGCTTATGGAGTATAAGTATATTGAAACCAGTTCTACCTAGCTTCCTATCTATTTACCAATAAGTTCCACGAGGTAACAAACTTATTCATAACATTCTCCTCAATAAGTGTACATGGAACAGATTTGTTAATGTTAACAGGTGCATCTAAAAAGTAATGTAAATCAAGGGAAGT